TGCCTAAATACATGAGACACAATTTAAAAAGAATGCTTCAATTGCAAACCCCTCAATAAAGTACATAATTTATACTTCTATAGAAAAATTGGAAAAGGAAACTCCCTATCCACTTTAATTTTTTTCTCAAAAATTGAAAAGAATTTTTGATTTTAAAAATTGTGCACATAATTTGATTAAATTTCCTCTTGCTTTCTTATAATAATATATTTCATGCTCGTACTTTTAAACAATTATTTATCATATACATAAACGATTCCCCTTCATCTAACTGAATGTCAACTTTCAGAAAAAAAAGAAATCTTTTACAATGACATGATGAGAAGAAGAAAGTGAACGAAAAAGAGCTTAAGAATTATTTTCGTAAATGGCACTTGAAGTATCTTGAGATGATAAACGTACTTGAAATTTGAATTTAATATTAGAATTTTCTATCATCATTATTGTAATGTAGGTAAGAAATTCCACGTACGAGATACTCGAGACATTCCAGTCATAAATGAAATATTTTTCTTGTTAATCTTCATGATTTATGAGCGTGTTTGTGATTGCATGAATATCTTTATATTTCAAGTAGAAATGATGATTTTGTCGTAATTATTTATTTAATTAACCATTCGTCAAGTGTCTAATGCCTTCATCTCAAATAAAATTAAATTTCTAAAAAAGTGTTCATGCCCTTTAGAATGATTAAAGTCTTCAGCAACTGCGATGTCAAATTCAATGACATTCAAAATGTTAATTGCATGAAAAAAATCTCGTGTACATGCTTGAATTTCTCTCAATTGAAATGAATTAAAACGGATGAATTTAATGAAAAGTTCAAATACGAGAGGAATTCATGTGCACATTTAATTTTATCCATACACACACAAAAAAAACTTCATATATTAATGTTAAATTGCCGGATGGCAGAAAAATAATGAAGAAGAGAGGAGATTAAAATGCTCTCTCTTGCTGTTGATGCTTGCAACCGCTATGTATGATGCCATGCATTATGCGACAATAATTGCTCTTCTATTCAAAATTTGTCATCTAGAAAAGAATAATAATTTTGCCATCCATTCATTATGATGATTATTGTGCTGAATGTTTACAAATATTCTTTATGCACTCTAAAATAATCATCATCATGTGGATGTATGCATGTTTTTCATGAAAAGGCAACAAAAACAAACAAAACTTTTCAATGGCACAAATAAATGAATATACAGGATGAAAGAAATTTTCATTTATTCAAATTCAAGTGGTCGGATGGCAAAGTGCGAAAATTGTGTCTGATAAATCTTGTAGGCTTTTTGTTGGCTTAACTCTGTTGAATTGAAAGGTTTTAATCAGTTTTGAATGAATAGATTTAAATGCGAGTAATATGTTTTTGGTACTTAATCACGATTAATTTCAATTATTTTTAACTACTATCCATCATCGGCTCAATTAAATTTAAAACAATTTTTTCCACAAATAACTGTTTTCATTTAATTAAATTTTATAAAACGTGTAAATATCGCATCTTAACTTTTATGTTGTCGCTCCTGAACATTTTGACTTGTAATCTTCATATTAATTTACAGTACTAATAAATTTTCAACCCTTGCTTATTCTATTAATTTATCATCCATAAATTTTATGTTTTCAGTTTTTAATGCACGTTCCTAATTCCACACAATTATTAAACCATAAAAGAGCATAAACATTCATGTCAAACAAAACATATGGCATTGAAAACATTTTTCTATTTATCGATGAAAATTACTTTTTTTAAAAACCAATAAATTCATTGTCAAATTCATTTTTTTCAATTCATGTGTATTCTTCTATTAAATGAAACAAAAAACCAATATCAATGATTTGCTATCAAAATGATTTATGTGCGTGAATGCATACATTCGAAAATCACCATTTCAAAAAAGCATTATCATCTGTTCATGTTCATTCAGAGATCAAAGATAAAAATTTAATAAATTTTGATGTTAAAATGCTTTTTTCATTCCAAATTTTAGATGCATGTGTGTCCATTTGCCACTTGTATGTCGTATAATCCTTTTATTGTTGAAAACTAGAGAGTGAAACAAAAATTTTTAGGAATTGAGAAAGGATTGATAGGCACTTGAAACGAAATACATGTAATCTTCTGATTAAGAAGTTTTTAGATATGTTAATCCATTTAAACATAATTCAAAGGTTTTTTTTTCTTTTTAATAAGAATAATTGTTTTAATATTTGCATTTTTGTCAAAAATTAACCATTTTTTTATTTTTTGAAAATATAAAATGAGATTAAAAATGCATAAAACCTAAAAGGATTTAGACAAATATTTATCTAACTTAATTATTCAAATTTCTAATTTTAAATTCAAATCCTTTTTCAATTCTTTTTTCATCTCCAACTACGAATATTTGATCACCGCAAATAACACATAATGTTTTATAGTCACAGTAGCATGTACAAAAAATAAATAAAATCCAATCAATGTGTGAATAAATTTCATCAACTAACATATAAATTTTTAATTCCTTTATTTCCACATGCACAGTACGTGGCATACTGAAAAAAAAGACACCATAAGGACATTATCTCGCTCTCCTTTTTTGTTCGTAAAGAAACAATTTTGTTTGGTTCCATTGTATTCACCATTAATTCAACCAACATTGCTAACAGGATAGGCAACGATGAGCAATTTTTATTATTTTTGTGAGATAGGGGGAAATGTGTAAGGTTGAAAGTCTATGGTTGCATGACTCTATGATGAACATTTTGTCATATTTATTTTTCAGACAAAAGTGCTGCATTGAATAATAATAAAATGAAAAAAAAAACGCAATAAACTCAAAAAGTTTTTTAAAATTTATATGTGTATTTTATTTTTTAAAATAATACAAAAATGCCTGAGATCAAAAATATCCAGCCATGCTGGCTGAATAAAGAGGAAATATATAAAAAATAAGTATTTATATTTTCTCGCATGCCAAAGTGAGAGCAGTGACAAAATATGGTACGGTTATAGTAACTTTTTATTGGAATAATCCTATTATCAGCGACACTATACAAAATTTATATATATTTGCCATATAATGCATTTTTTTCATCACATTTCTTCTTTATTCATTTCACTGCTGTTGCGGCTGTTGATGGTGGTAAAAATGTATCTTTCGTAATATATCTGAATTTTTAACGCGATTCTCCATGCCAATTTTTCCAAAAACTTATTTCAACATTTTATGCATACATCCATAGCTGAATTTTAGATATAAGAATAAACCTTGTTACGCGTGACATTATCAAATGATTAAAATACATATTGGTTGTATTTTTTTGTTTTTATGTTTATTAATAGAAAGACTTAGATGAAAAAATAGGATATCAATAACTTAACTTATTCTGTATTCATAACGTAATAAGTTTTCCTTACAGTAAAATATTACCCTTTAAACTCATTAAAGCTTTGTATGAAAAATTTGACCTTATAAAATTTGTTGAAGTTTAAAAATTGAGTGGAGATTTGATTTCTAACTTCTCCATCATGCTTAAAATCCTGTTTTCTAGTTACCATCTGTCCGAAGAATATTAATTTTCTTGCATGTAAAATATTTCATTTATTTTCCTGATGATACCACATGAAAGTATAATATAAAACCACAGCTCCCTACCCTCCATCTAGATTGCTTTCATCAAACATACATCTATTTAACTCTTTAAAGCTATTAAGAGAAAAAAGTTGAATCTAATTCTTCATGGTTTGAGAATTTTTGCCATTTAATAATAAAATCGTTTTTCTTGAATGAAAATGAAACCGTATCATTTCGTATAAAAATGAGATTATTCATAAATTTTTTATACATACATAAGCATCATTAAAATTCTTGTAAGCATTCACCCAAGATGTGGCATTTGCCAAATGACGTTTTACTTTTTTTATAAGTTTTGTTGGACAAAATATATATACTTGAGCAACTTACAACCCTTTGATTTAATTTTTTACACTCAAATATTTTGTAATGTTAAATATTGAGTTGCTTTTATATAAAATATGAGAACAATTAAAAAGTCAAAAAATATATTTCTAAGATACAATAAACGACTTACGCTGAAAACAACGAACTACCATGACTCTTTTTGATAGATTGCAGTACTCTAAGCCATTCAACTGCTTCTCCCTAATCCATACGTTTATATACGCGTTTTGTTGGCTTAAAATCAGGGTTCAATCAACAAAAGTTGCTTATGATAATCACATTGGAATATTGAGACAAATTTGTTACAGGAGTTTGAACTTATCGCCACAAAAGAGGAGTGCTAAGGAACAGCAAATAACAAATGATTTACAAAAATAAAGTCAACAAATTGATAGTAGAGAATTAAGCAAAAATCAATTATTAAATCAAAAAGAACAGCTTCAACTCATACAACTCATGAACAAGCTTTTGCAGAAATTGATGAAACGGAAGGTCAATTTAGTCAACAGCCACAAAGAATGAATCTGAAAAGATAACAGCACAAAAAAGGTTTAAGGAAAGCATAAGATCAAATCCTTGACTTCCAAGATAAATTTGTAAGCCTTAAAGATAATTTTCATTCATGTTCACTCTGATTTAAAACGTGAATTATCATGGTTGGAGCAACAAAATGACAATTATTTACAAGACCGCCTGAACAGGAACGTCAAAAACTGTTTTCATTTAAAGCTTAATTGCCTTTTATGAGCTAATTTTTTTCGATAAGCATTTCTTTTAAATTTGACATTTTCATTTTGCATCAAACTTGATCGTCAGTTTGATTCTGACTTACTTGTAAGATCAAAACTTCCTGACCATCATGATTTGGTGTTATATTTCATCTTGCATTAATTTTATTCTTAACTTCTTGTTGTGATAGTGCAAATTAATCGAAACAGTCGTTGAAAAACATATTCACTTTAGAAACACAACATTGCACATAAATGCAACATATAAAGTTTATAAATAAACATTGGATATAAACACATAAATAGTCAGTCATTACGTGGAGAATGGCAACGATTCAAAAGAGAAGTAGAGTGTTATCTCAATATGAACAAATTAGAGAAGGAGAGTATGCAGATTTAATTGATGAGCAAGAACTGTATGAAGCATATAAGAAAATCATGGAGAATAAATTGAAGCTTATGATCAAAATTTTATTTCTATTTCTGCATTCAACGTATGATATTTATCAGCGAAAGCAAAACGATGAGGAGTCATTTGATGAGTTTCTGTCAACTGTTCGTGAATTAGCCTCAATACAACAATATAACAAAGCTGTCAATTTTCAAGCTTTTTATGATCCATTCTCGAATCTGTCAGTAGCTCCATCGAGTAATTAATTATAACCAAGAAATAGACGAAAGCATGCAAATGATGTACTTAATAAATTGAGAGAATCACAACTGATGACAAATATGAAGTTAGAAATGCAGTCTGGAAAGATTCTAGACTAATGCCGAGATAGAATCAGACAGTTAAAAACAAAAAGATGACATCGAAAGAACAGATATAAATAATAATGAAAAAAGCGTGTGATTAAGAAGGAAATGAGTGCTTAAGAAATCATTTCACTCAATCTTTACCGTCAACAGCTGATGACAAGTTCCAGATTCTACAAAGTGAGCTAAAGTTGAAAGAATATCAACAGAAAATTAAAAACCTGGAAGCTGCAACATGTGGATCATCTATAGAAAAAAATGACGTGGACCTAGATATACAAGAGGAATTGCATTGAAAAGTTCAGAAGCTAGAAGCTAAATTAAATCAAGGATATCCACATTGACCACAAGTTTGAATCTAAAAGTAAGTTATCGATTCCTCAATTTTTTTATATTTCAGATGGATGAATTAAAATCAGCTGCAGTACAATTAAAAGATATATTACCAGATAAAAAGAAAGAAACAGAAGTTTTATCAATAGAACTTGCCAATATGTAAGAATCATCTAAAAGTCAAACACTTAAGAACTTGAAGAATGAAACAATGCAAGATTAGAGGAAGCAGCTGCATCGATTGACGCCGAAAAAGTCATGATTATTAATCATTGATGAAAGAAAAGGTAAGTGAACTTAAATGCATTCTTAAATGCAACATTCTCGTTGCTTCTGTAAATATGAACAATATACTTTCGTGAACGAATTGAAACAACTTTCAATTAAAATCCAGATCAGCAATGGAATGGTCAAAAGCAGAAAGAGCCATCTTCCTAGAATACAAGCTGGAAACACACCTTTAGTGAAAGTAACACAAGAACTGTTGATTCTATTAATCCTTAACACCTGCTGAATGTTCGTTAAAGAGTGTTCAACAAGCTACAGAGCTGGTCTTCTCATCATCTCCATAACCTAAGGTGAGACGGATCTTCTTTTTCTGTATCCATATGAATACTTGTAAATAATATTTAAATATCCATCCATGAAACTTGTTGGTCGATTTTCTTCATGTCTTATTAATCGGTGTAACAATTTCTGTCTTAAATGCTTCAGGAAAACTCCCTCTTTTCATCATTTGATTTATAAGATGAACCAGATAGGAAAAAATTTCATTTCTCATTACTTCTACATAAATTGACTTGACTTGATTAAAAGTGATTTCTTAAAATCTAAAAGTATGTCAAGAGGAACCAAGGACACATTTTATAAAACGCTTGTTCAAGTTATTGTATTGTGTGTATGAAACCTGGAATTCAAATGTTGATTCTTTGTCGATCGTTTTTATCAAAATGGATCCTTGATGCCGAATGTTTAGTTCAAATACTGACGGACTTTTTAAAGACACGTTTGCATTCTTTAAATTTCATTGCTTGGCTCCTTCGTCCTTTTGGATCTTTATTGGGCTCCCATTATTTATATCTTTTTGTTTCCTTCTAGCTTTCAAAAGATTCAAGTGAATGATTTTAACATGCAAATTGATTGTTCTTACGTAGACTTTCTGCATGAAAGTTTGTTGTAGTAATTTTTTTTTAAAAAAATTCACAAGGGATCATTTTAACCCACAAGATGGAAGTGAGACTTCAAGAGAAAAGAGACATTTTTGAGAAGCTTGCAAGTAGGAAAAGACAGGACTAAATGATAGATTACACAAACTTTAAGAAAACGATGAAAAAATTGAAAGAATATAAACAAAAAATTAAGGAACTGGAAGCTGCAAGACGTGACGCTAAATAAATTAAGGATATGCAAGTCGATTATGATGAGGTTCCAGCAAGCTCCAAAATTAATTCAAATTCAGCTCTCAATTTTAAAATCTTAAAGTAAGTTACTAATTTTTCAAATTTTTCATTGCAGATAAAAAAATTAAAATCAGCTGCAGTGCAATTAAAAGATATATTACCAGATAAGAAGAAAAAAAGAGAATGATTTATCAACAGAACTTGCCAATTTGTAAGAACATCAAAAAGTCAAACACTCAAGAAGTTGAAGAATCGTTATGATAATGCCATTGAAAAGTGTGACAAAAAGGCGAGGAACTTCAGTCATACCTTAGCAGAAATTTACTAGTAATTTCCTAGTAATTTACTGGATAACTTTCCATTTGCTACTTGCTATTTACTAGTCAAAATCCAAGTTCAAATCTTCGCCAAAGACCCGCATTTTCACTGCTAATTGACTAGTCAATTAGCCAAATTTAAAACAAAATTTTTTATGACGCAAAAAATTCTTTTTTTTGATGATTTTTCGTAAGATTCGAACTTAAGCAGATTTGATCAAACATTTAACATGGTAATTTGCTAGTAATTTGCAATTAAATAGCAAGTGTAATTTACTAACAGTAAGATTTTTTAATATTAACTAGTAAATTGCAAGTTGTAGAATAGAAATAGCAATTTGCTAGTTAGTCTCGCTAGGAATAAAAGCAAATGCTTATGAATGAAAAACAATGAATATTAAAGGAAGAAGCTGCATAAGATGAAGCCCAAAAGAAACTTACAATAGGATAACATTATTTGCAAGATATTGCGTGAAACGAAACCAGATAATTGTAATCGGAACCAGACTGTGCATTTTGATCGGAAAAGTGAAAAGCTTGTCTAAAATTCAGATAATATGCTTATTTTGTAGACATTGGGCCTAAGACATTACGTGTCTGTTTATTGCTTTAAGATTCAAGAAATTTATCCACCAAAACTTTATGAGTACGCATACATCACAGACGGAGCATGTTCCGAAGAATACAAGCACTAGCAAATTCTTAATAAAGTGATGTGACTTGAAAAGAATCAAAGGCATTACCATTTCTAAATTCATCAAAATATGTGAATTCGTTTAATTATCCACAATTTACAAATACTGCTTTCGATAGGATGGCACAGCTGATTGATAATGGCAATACAAACTTTTCATATTCAATAATTGCAGGAGATGCAGTAAGTCATGTGTTTAATAAAATTTTTGAATAACTAAACTTATAAAATTATTAATAAAGATCCATCTCAAATCATTCAAACACATTCCAAGAAGCATCTAAAGAACCTGAGAGGAATATAAAAGAAGCTGAAGAATTTGACATGGAAGTGCAAAATGAGAGCGAGGAATCGAACTTGAATTCTCTGGGAAGAGATCAAGTTTTATCCGGTTGAAACAGCAACTAGAAAGAAGAGCATGATGTAGTTCCACAAGCTGATGGCAGCTGATATGGGTGGTTATTTTTTTTTGGGAGGTTAATCAGAAATAAAGAAATTATAAATTAATTGAGCTAATCTTATGTTCAAATTTAATTTAATTTAATTTAAGAAGCATCTGAAGACCCTGAAATTAATCAAGAAGAAGCTGCAGAATTGGACATCAAAGTGGAAAAAGAGAGCAAGGAACCAAACGCTAGCAGTCTCTGGAGAGATTGGATCGCATCAGACAGTCATTATGGAAGCTAGGAAAGCCACGACGAAGATCTTTGATAAAAAGTAAGAGCAACAAAAATAGTTTATTGAACGTGATATAATAAATATAAAAAATCAATTAATGCAGCAACTACCCTAGTTGTGGAAGTAGAGAATCAAATTAAGATAATGGAAGTAGAAGCAATTGAGCAGAGAAACATTTAGCAAAATCTTCAGCAACCACAAAATGCAGCTCATCTATTTGAGAGTAGCCAACAAGGAGGTATTTTATCTCTAGAAATCAAAGATGGTTGGGAATTAAACAGCGATAATGTGTTTATGTGAAAATTGATGTGAATTAATGTAAATATGTTATCCCGCCGAGAATGAAGGTAAAACTTTTTGACTGCTTTAAATTAATTCTCATACATATGATAAGAGAAAACACCCCACCGTCCTGCTCGATTTTTTTTCGGCACTAGGAGTACTTATATTTTGCTGAATAAATACAGCTAAGAAAGTGTTTTGTTTTACTTTGACGACAATAGCACAATTAGCAAAATGGATGGAGTCATACTTTCAAATGTTTGAAGGAGAAGCTGAAGATAATCAAATTTTATTACTTGAATAAAGTGAACTAGAACAAATTTGCCCAAATCATCCAAACACATTCCACAAGCTTGGAGCTCTGAAGTGAGCAATTAGAAGCAACTGCTACAATCGTCGGGATCTTTTCTCAACTTGATTTGACTACGATATAACCTCTCATTACAGTTTCCAGAATCAAGCGTCATTAGATGACGAAAAATTCACAACACAAGCAATCAACGATAAAACATATACAATCTCAACGAGCGATGTAATGAAAGAGTAGGGTAGATGCTCAAAGTCGATCGCTGACAGTCAACGTGAGTAATGAACATTTCTAGTTCTAAGAGTTATAGTTATCATCAATTTGTTGAAACATCTACAGCCAATAACGACATTATATTTTAAAACAAAAGATGATGAGAAAGTTCCATGTTATGTGATGCCTTCAAGTGAGCAACGTGTGTGTCTATTGCCAATACTTCCATGGATCAAGCTATATGCCATGCTACGGACATTTCAGAGTCGAATATTTTCGACATGTTTGAATTTAGTCGACCTAGTGTTTGAATATTTTAAAACCGTTAAAAGTTTGTCAATTTTAAGATTTTGAGCATTAATATTTAATTTCTAGTATTTTTCTTGGATGATTTTAGCTAAACTTAACTAAACATGAAGCTAAGAATAAGAATCGTTTGCCCAAGCCTTGGTTTTGCCAGTGTTTGCAAGAAATATTCATGGAAATTAAACGGTTTTTTGAAATTCAAAGCAAAAAATAACGGATTTTTCGACGTGTCCGTAGCATGCTATATGCAATAGTATGGTACAACAGGATGAGAAGGTATCGCTGAGTCATGATGTGAACATGTTCAAAAATCAACTAGGACTTGAGTCAAGAATTAAATTAATTTTTTTTAGCTTAAAATTAATTTTCATAAATGCAAAAGTAGAAAATGCCCCACCGTCCTGCGCAATTTTTTTTCTGCATTTAGATTCCTTAAATTCCTCCAACATTTTTATAATTTCCAAATCTTCTGAACCACACCAATTTTTTATTTTTTTCTCATACTTCTTTTTACCTACTGTACCACACCCTTTAAACCTACAGTTTATAGTGGAATCTTGGGTTTCTGAAAAACGGCATTTTTAAAAAACGGCCGTTTCCGTTTTATTCCAAAAAACGGCCGTTAACGGGTCCGTTTTTTTAATTGTACCGAAATTGTGTTTTATGCACGGTTTTAGTCACATACTGTAATTTTTGTCAAAAACTGAACTTATTACAGTGTATTGTGTCTATAAAAACTATTCACACTCTGTTTTTTCGTTATAAGCTACTACTCGTTACTAAGCTACCAGCTTAGTAAAGTTTTTTTGAACTTAAATTTTTTTTGTAATCTTTACTAAGCTCCTACCAAAAATAAAGCTTAATTAATCTTTTTCAACTTTTTAAGTATCAGTCTCAATGCCTTATGACATTGTCAATGAAATAAAATCGAGAAGATAGCAAAATTTCTTTAATTAAGTTAAAAAATTCAAAATTTTAATTTAAGTTTAATTTCTTTACTAAGCTTCTACTCGTTACTAAGCTACTAGTGAGCCAAAAAATCACTTTTTTATTCTTCTAAGCTACTAGCTTATAACGAAAAAACAGGATACTTCAAACTTTAAAAATATTTAAACATCAATAGTCGTTACGAAACTTAACTACTTAAATTTAATGAGTATGAAAGAATTATTGGAGTTAATATTATTTTATTCTGAACCTAAAATTTTCACGAGCTAGAAAAGAAAAACGGAAAAAACGGCTAGAAAAAAACAGCCGTTTTACGTTTTTATTTTTCTCTGAAAAACAGCCGTTTTTCCGTTTCCGTTAACGGCTTCAGAAACCCTAGTGGAATCCGAACCACTTGCAAGCTCTGCACATTGCAAAATCACGAGTATGTCTAGACCTGATGACTTTCCTAGGCATCAAAATAGAAAAAAAAATTGTTTTTAACTTACATCCAAATATTGAGGTTAAAAACCTACTTAACCTCAGAATCCATTCCCCACATTTCACTGCTTGCCTGATGAAATTACACCAAAAACTTAATAATATGTACCTATGCTTCCTGAAGCTTCAGAGTTATGTACAAAATTTGATAATTTTTGATCTTGTATTTTTCGGATTCCATGTCTACATACTGGAACTGACCAAAAAAAATTAAAAACCATTCGATTCTCAAATTTATTTCCTATAAATATAATGCTTTTTATGGGGTAATAATGCTTACTCTTTTCAGAAACTGTAAAAACATGAAAAATTACTAAAACATAGAACTATTAACTTACACGCTTTACGTGGAAGTTAATAAAGTTATCAAAATTTTTTTCAATTGGAGCAACAAAATTTCAATAAAATGTTCACGAAAATAAAGTGATACCACAAGAAAAAGCAAGCAGTGAGTATAACGCAAAGCCATTTAATATATGAAAAGGGTTGCTAAACAAAAAGAAGTTTCCTTTTGGCTTCTTTTCTTCATACAAAATATGAACATTTGATGTAAATTAAAAAATAATTTTAAAGTCAGTCAGATGAACAACATTTGTCAACAAAAGTGTGTTATTTTTGAATTAGGTCTAGTTGATATTTTGAGATTCAGATATCGTTCAAAAAATGTATACTTGTTTCATTCTAATGCATTTAAAATTTTAGAATATTAAATGGATAATACTTTTAACTAAGTTGAAGAACTAAAAGACTGTTTTAAAGTTAAAAAATAGATCATGGTATTACTTATGTATTACTATACCAAAAAAAAAGTTTTTCGGTTCATTCACTAAAAGAACATTACTTTTTTGTCATGTAAAACTCAAGTTTTTTTAAACTCATTTTACTCACGTCTTTTCCTTTTAATTTCAACTCAAAATGAACAAAATTTGAGAAAAACGCAAGGAACACCTACATTTTTCCTTCTTGCTACTAAAAGCATTTTATGATATGTACATTATATTATATGCTGATGATGATGATGGGTGGAAAAAGTTTTCCAAATTTTTTTTTTCACTTTTAGCCTTTCTCACTTCCTGTATGTTATGGGGCCCGTCAAAAATAATAGGAATTTCAGTTTAACGGTTTAATAAAATTCAAAAATTTTACATATTTTCGAGCAAAATGACCAAAACTTTAATCAGCTGAAAATCTAATTAATACTCGTGAATTTGTAACTTTAGCTCTTTTAAAACACAAAATAGAACCTTAGAAACATACTACCGACATTTAAATATGAGCTGTATTACGTTTTAATTATGTTTTCAGCAATTTTCGAAAAAATAAAATTTTTTTGTTGACCAAAAACATACAAGAAAATTCAAAAAAATGATATTCGTTACAAGATTTTGAAACTTAAAGTGTTAATTTAAGTAACTTCCAATCATTGTATTGATAAAGATGATAATTTGAATGAACAAATAGAAGAAATAGCACAATTTGGTACAGAAAAACTAAAATTTAAGCTGGGAATAAAGAAGTTATTAAAGGTTGTTTACACTCAAAATACCCTTTCCCGAAAATTCTACGTCATTGGTGGGTATTCGAATGGCTCTACAGAAGGAACCAGACATGCTAGGAAAATGATAATGATTTCAAACTCTTCGTCTCGGCGAATTCTATAATACCAATAAAGAACAAAATACAGTTTCATGGAAAAAAATCACAAAAAATGACTAAAAGTGGTCTCCGATGACGTAGAATTCATTTTTGACGGGCCCCTTATGGTTTTCATTCCTATGTCAGAATTATGATGCTGTCAAAACTTTAATGTATGGTAAAAAAAATTATGCTTCACGGTTGTTGATTCCTTTTCACTCAAAATATACTTTTATTCAGAGTTGTGATCTATGAATGCATGAGCTGATAATAATGGAACAATGCTGCAAAAGGTTTTTTAGTGATTCCTAACATTCTTAACAATATTTAAAAATAAGCATCAAAAAAATGGACTATTTAGCTTCGGATTAATTATTTTAAAAATAATACTTTTGTTCAATTGATATCGATATAATACGTCTCTGTTCATTGTTTTTACTAGAAAATAAATTTTTTATTCAAGAACTTAATCGTACATACAGTAGAAAAGTTTTTAATTACAAAGACTGTGATGAAAAGTGTTACAAATTTATGTCATTTTAATTTTGCAGCGCATGGTAGACCAAAAATACATAATGTGAGCAAGAGTAAAAGCAAAATCACAAAGTAAACGAAAACATACAACTTCATTAGTGCAACATGAAAGGCTTGAATTTTATCTATACAGGCAAATATGAATGAGATATACATACAATTATTTTAGTGAAGGTATGGATTTTAGATTCATTTGGATGTCATTTATAAATATTACGTATAATGTTGTGTAGTGCTATGCATTCCCACATATATTCATTGTACCAAAGCTAAATTGCAAAACATTAGAAATAAATTTATTCAAATTAAATTTTGTCAAGAGCATTGCTTTTGAATTTTAGTGAAAATATCTAAATTGAGAATATGAGTTGAAATATAAAATTTTTAAATCCTTTCGGCATTTTCGAATAGTTTAGATCTATAACAAAATTTTCAAATACTTCAAAATTCATCATGAATAGGTATCCATATTCTCTTTCTGTTGCCAATTAAATGTGAATTCTAATGAAATCCTGAGGAAAAATATGCAAATATGGATTAAGCATCTAAACTTTTAAAGGATTCTGTGTTTTATCAACTGAGTCTTTTTACGACACTTTTGAAAGCTAGTTTATCAAAAATTTAATTTTATCAAACAAAGTTATTTTGATTATCAATGGATATCACGTATTCTCTTTATGCAATAAATACAGAAAGCTTTGATAATTTTGCAGAATATTTCTTTATGTAGCTTTGTCACTCTTAAAAATATTCCTTTCAATCAAAGCTTCAAACTTATTAATGCATTATGTGAACAAAAAAAAACTTTTTAATAAGTCAAATATAATATCATAATAAGATTATTGTGATCGAAGTGCAATCAAAAGCGTCTTGTCAACTTTTTTTTTCATATTTATTTCGACAAAGTCGTGTTTATTTAAAGAATTGTCTGGGTTTAACATAAGTGAGAAACAAATATTTATATAGGAAATAATTCATTGGTATACATTTGATATATAATTGAATTGTTTTTGCTCTAATTAAGAATTTTAAGACTTGAATAGACATATCAACTTATCGAATAGGATTATGTTAGGACCTTAGCGATTAAGGGAGTTTAATGAATTTATTCTATCAAAAAGTATGACACGTGCAATGATGTTACAGTCAATCATGTAGACAAATGAAGTTTAAAAAAATCAAACATAACCGAAGGTTCAATTTCTTAAAAAAAAGGCAAAAAAAGGTAAAGTTCCTGATGAAATTGAAAATGCTTACGCTAATATTAGCACTCCAAAGACAAAATACAAGAACATCATTCGCCACAAGGGTAAAAAGCCCCAGAACGGGTCAAATCAAGTCCATGACATACGTAAGTTCTTGCAAGAAGGCAATCGTAAATCCACTACCAGATATCATGAAACTCGTCAAATTCCTCCATCTCCAACCGACTCTCAGCAATATCAATCGAAATTTGATGAAAATTCTTCAGCTCTAAAAGATAAAAGCAATGAAATTACAATATTAACAAAGGAATATCAGGAACTCACCGGATCAGATCCATTTGATTTATCACTAATATTTAAAAAGACAAACGAACTAATCCATGCCATGAACGAACGTCACAATCTCCTCATTCAACAGTTCTCAACAAGTCAAAGCAAGCATACCGACTTTGTGACATCTGAAATCAATGCACTGAGATGTGAGATTAATCAAGTTAAATCAAGTCATCAAGAGGAAATCGAATCTCTTCAAATCATAGATTCATCTCGTAGTGACCTAAAAAAGCTATGGATTAGATTTAAATTCAGAGGAGAAGCACAAGAAATCCGAGGAAAAGGAAACTATCCAGCTGAAATTAAAAAAGTTCTTGATAAAATGGGAATAAACTTCAACCTTGGCATACTTCCTTTGGAATCAGCATTCTTCCAAGATAGGAAATTCGGTGGTAGTTCTATACCAGAAATTGCACTCTGCTGTAATTTTGTCAACTCCACAATAGCACGACGAGTCAAAATCGACATTGCAAACTTCAATAAAAGCTTGGAAGAAAAAGGTCAGCGGGATATGATTCGCTACTTCACAACAGTAAGCTGGTCTGAAAATGTCTGGAAAATATTAAGAATTTGCTTTGACATCAAGGGAAGCGGCATGCTTAAAAGCGCTTTTGTTACTAATGAAGGGATAAAGGTCCAATATGAGATCGATTCAGCACCCGACGATCCAAATGAAACTGTCGTTGATCCAAATTCCTCAAAAGTTATCACTGCTAAAATTAACAGCATGTCTGCTCTAGATGAATTACGCAAATCCATCGTCGATTTCAATTACCAATTGCCAGCAGTCCAAGTGTATAGCACTGAATACTTTAATCTGTCAATGGAACAAAGAAAAGAACTTCGAATGAATTATCAGCATGAAATACTTGAAGATGATGATAATCAAATGCTAATCGAATCAAATGAAAACTACTGACGGTATCCATTCTCACCTATAAGACACAGCAAGTCCAATAATTTTAAGAACATTGATAGTACAACATTTAACAACGAAAGAAAGGAAATAAATAGCTGTATGCTTAATCAAAGTGGAAATCATAGTTTAAATGAATTAAAAACGGAATTTGGATTAAATCTATTCAATACCACTTCTAAAAACGCATCACCGTTCTCAGCTATTTTATGGAACATTAATACTATCACTGACAATAAATACAACAAACTCAAATCAATTCTATCTGAATTATCATTGTCTAAGGTGAGAAGTAATAATTCAAACTTAGCCCATAATAAACTAATCGACCTTATTGTGCTGACTGAATTCGGGAAAAAATCTTCAAAGTTTAATTGTTTCAACATAAATAACTATAAATTGTACACTTCACTCAGAACTAATCGGAAAGGTGGCGGAATTGCTGCTTACGTTCATAAATCACATGCATCGATTATCAAACATTCAGAAATAACAATTAATTTTGAAATTATGTCAATCGAACTCACCCTATACGGAACTGATACCAAAGAATTCCTATTAATTTATCGTCCTCCTAATGGCAACATTGATGCATTCATCTCAATGCTAGAGGGTCGTTTATCATCAGCCAATGAGCATCTTATAATCTTAGGTGACATTAATATAAATGTACATCCAAAAATTTTAGAACAATCCAGCACATCAGTAGCTCTAAAATATAAAGAGTTAATTAATTCATACGGAATGTCTATAAAAAATAAGGCCATCACAAGATTCAATCACATAACTAATAATCATTCAATTATTGATCATGTGGTAGCCTCAACCACCAATACCTTAAAAGTGCTTACATCTAACAATATTATGATCGATGGATGTTCAGACCACAACCTTTTGCTTCTGATTTCTCCAGGAAGACAAATTCAAACTTCAGAACTCTCCAAAATTTCCATAAAGAGAACCAATAAAGCACGCGTAGTTAAAACGATCTGCAATAGTTTAGATAGCTTCACTTTTAGTGGTTGTAATGCCGAATCAAAGTCAACCCAACTACTCAAACTAGTCTGGAAAGCTCATGAAGAAAATACTACGTTATTTCACATTAAAACTCGAGATTCCGATGAAACGCTACCTCCATGGACTAACAACACGTATATCTCAATGTGTAAATCGATTCATAATCTGAATGAAAAAATTCACAAGCTTAATTCATGTAGACGCCCAACAAATATATTGGAAACTAAAAAGAACGAACTAGTAATATTTAAAAATGAATATGCTTCAGATCGTACGAAAGCCTTCAACTGTGATATTTCAGTCCTGGATATCAAATCAGGTTGGAAAATTCTGAACGAAAATACTGGACATGACCAAACTGGAAACAAAATAGTTCTTGAAACCACTAATAAGCGAATTACAAATGACGAAGTAATAGCAAATGAATTTCAAGAATATTTCTTATCAATTGTGAATACAAATGCTACAAATGTCCAACCCTGCTATCCTCAATCAGAGGTATCAACTGTATTTAGGTTTAATAGTGCCAGCATACTCACATTTCAAAATTGGCTCAAACAACTTAACATTGGTAAGGCATCAGGACTTGACAACATATCACCTTTCATCTGGAACAATTTGAACGAACCAATGGCTGCATTAGTCTTTGAAATATTCGCCGATATGGTTAAGGAATCGGTTTATCCAAAATTGCTTAAAAGGTCACTCGTTCATCCTATACACAAAAGTGGATCGACTATGAATGTTGAAAATTATCGACCTATATCTATACCGATTTCTCTGAGCAAGATCTTTGAATCTGAAATGACTGAACAAATCGATTATTATATGACAACTAATCAACATTGGGATCCTCATCAGTATGGGTTTAAAAAGAAGAAAGGATGTCAAGAAGTAATTGCTAAAGTAATCCACGAAACTTCCAAATTGCTTGACCGTAAATCGAATGTATTGCTTTTATCACTAGACTTATCAAAAGCTTTTGACTCGGTTGATCATCAGATACTTCTACAAAAATTAGCTAAACTAGGTTTTGCGTTGGAATCGCTTGAATTAATAAGAAGTTTTCTCTCAGACCGTATCCAAGTCGTTCAGATTAATAATTCTTATAGCAAGGAAGGAAAAGTATCTGGAGGAATTGCCCAAGGATCATGCAAAGGACCAACGCTATTTAATCTTTATTTAAATGATATGAAGGACCTCAAACTGTCATGCTTAAACTATCGATTTGCGGATGATTCAATATTAATTTGGGACATCGGAAGCGACATCAATCAGACTATTAAAAACATAAATTCTGATTTAAATCATATCGGGAACTACTATCAAGCAAACAAACTTAAATTAAATCTATCGAAATCGAAATATTTAATATTAGGCACCAATGAAACTCATCAAAACATCTTAGACCTACTTAAATCTAAAAATATGATATGTGTTGATAATTTAACTTACCTTGGAGTCCCAATAGATTCGCTCCTAAACTTTGGTGATTATAGTGAGCACATAAGAAAAAAGTTGTCACAAACAGTTGGAGCAATATCGATCCTGCGAAATCGACTCACAAAAGACTTGTTGATTAACTTCTTTCATGCGCATTTCCAGTCTCATCTGTCATATTGTGCGTTTCTACTATTGAGATCATCAGCACAAACAATAAAAAGCATTCAAGTGCTTCAGAATCGTAGCTTAAAGTTGATCTTTGGATTGCCATGGGATTTTTCAACGGCTGCGCTCTATAATCAAGTTGCAATTAATGTTCTGCCTGTTATGGGTCTTCTGTTCTACTCTTGCCTGACTGCTATTAAAAAATCATTACTGGCAAACGATGACACATTAGTGAGATTTGAAACATTAAAGTCTGATCGCCTAAAAAATTTAAAAATTCAAAATTACTCAACAAAATACATGAGAAATGACCTAACAACAATGGGATCCACAATCTACAATAGTTTACCAATAAATGTAAAGGCCATCAACAACATTGACACCTTTAAGATCAAAGTTAAGCAGTTCCTATTGACAAAAACCGTTACTCTAATTTCTCCACGACAGATGGCAGTAAGAAACAAAATTTTGTGATGTCAATAAAAAGTTAAATGTCCGTGAACTGCTGGATTCCTGGATGAGCCGACCATTGTAGTTCTAAGTCAATCAAATCCCTAAAAAGCAAATAACTGTTACTGAAAGGAAATTGGTTCAAAGAAAACGAATTTCTTATATTCTAATCAGAAATTAATACTCATCTAAACTTTACTCGCATATGTGGAGTGTTGAATCGTCATCAGATATCTTCTAGTCGACCGATTTGTCCTCTTTAATGGCCCGTTAATAATTTAATTAAGCACTCTTAATATTTAATGTCACTTATTTTACCACTTTGCAATATTTACATTTCTTTTTAGTACATTTTAGAACTTAACGTTTTCAAATATTTTTCAACCGTTACAAAAGCTCAAAAGCTCAAATATTTTTTGTAATCACTTATCAAAATGTTTATATTGTTAATTATGTTCAACCAGAATGGTAAATAAACATATATACAACTAGCTAGTCTATGAATACGTCTCTAGACTAGCTAGATTGGTATGTTTATTCTTTACAAATGAAAAAAAAAAACTCTTTTTGCGAAAAATAAACTTTTGAAATTTTTTCTCTTTAATTAATTATGACTAAGCAAAAACTTGAAAAAATCAAGACAGTAGAAAAGATTTCGAAAATGCAAATTTATTTACTAAAAAGTGCTGTAAGGAATGCATGTATGCATAAAACAGATGATTGGCCCCTTTTATGGATTAAAATATAAATCAAGTCAATAAACTTTTGTAAAAGGAAAGAAAAAACGGATACTTCAATGCAATTAAGAATACAAACTACATGCATGCCTCCATTTTTATGATATATAGTATCTCTTGAAATTGATACGTTATCAGTCACACACTCATAATTGAGGTTAATTTAATCACCATAAAATATATCTATGTACCAAGGCAATAAATAAATCATAGATAAGCGAAACATGAGCAATAAATGGAAAGTTCGCTCACCTGAAAATCACTTCTTGTTCGCTCCTCTCGCGGATTCAAAAGTTTTCTCTCGGGAAAAATTTCCGTCTCTCAATTAAAACTTTCTCTCTTCTCCAATTTTATTTCAAGCTCTCTTCAGTTTTCAATTCTCTGAGAAAATGTTTATCAAATCCAAAATTTTCTCTTATTATCGCAAAATAAAATACAACAAAAAAAATTTTCATTGAGCGCAAAAGACTCACTGATTATGCCAACCATCCAGCCAACACAGCATTGAAAAAGAACAGAAAAATTATTTTTTTTTTGCTTTGCTTGTGCTGCTTCAATGAGGGAATGAAAAGAAAAAAAATGCTTCGAAGCATGGAGAGCGCCGTATTTTCTGTTGAATAAATATTCAGATTGTAGAAACATTTCAACGAGAACGGACGTTACACGGTCAACGCTAAAAAACTCGAATGTCGTTCGTTAAAAATACGCGAAAAGATAAAATTGTTTTATTTTTGTGAAGAACAAAAAGTTTTTTTAATTTTTTTCTTCTCCTTTCTGTTTCTTCGTCATTTGGCATTATTATTTGTGGCCGTAATATGTAAATTCTTGATGTAGATATTTTAACATTTTTTATGCTGATTTCGGTTGGTTTTGGCAAATAAATTTTCTTGTCTTGTTCAAATGAAAGAGCTTTCTTACCATAAGAAGAGATATAATAAATTTAGTGTCAAGTGATAATTAAATTAATCAATAAAGTGATAATAAATTTTAAAAATCTTAATGAATAAAAATAATAATCATTAATCAATTCGAGTACGATTAATTGATTTAAAAAAATGTGAATTAAAATATTCAATTGAAAAAGTTTTATTTTTCACTTGCTTGAATAAAAAATTGATGGCCATTGCTCAAAATTTGTTGTGAAATAATAAGCCGGTTATATTAAAATATACAATTGTCAAAAGTGTAAATTTAGTGAATCGAATTGATTACCATTTTTACCGCGTTCAGTGACTTCTGTTAAAAAACATTTGAAGTTAAAATATTCAACAAGCAAATAAAATTCAAGTTGCGTTCATGAGCAGAGACTTTTGATTTGATATACTTGAAATTACAAGCACCTAATATACAAAATAAATATTTTAGAATTTATATGTT